TGCTGAGGCGGTGTGCTATTCAGGAGAGAGCGAGGCATGACATGACACCTTTAATTTCCTCACTTCTGTCCTCTTCAGCAAGACATTGGTGCTGAAGGAGTGATAGAATCAAATATCTATTTTTCATTACCCTGTACTGTGTTCATGAGAAATATCAAAGGCAACACCTTGACTGGGTATGGTTCTTGCTAGCAGCTTGTGCTAGTGTTGTGTGTCTAAGGGCTCAGGACCTCCAGAGACTTCTGCCTTTTTTTAAAAGACTAAGTGCTTCAAAAAGACAGAGGACATCAGGGCACGGCAGTCCCACTGGGAATCTACATGGTTCTTGCTGTAAGAAAATCTTTCATGTGGGCATTACGCCCGCTTTGCAGGCTGGAGAAGGATGCACAGGGTGAGTGAGGTGCTGCGGAAGCCCAGTCACCAGCACTGCGGCGTGAAGTTTCCAGCTGGGAGCGAATGCTCATATTCTCTGGCCTTGCAGGGCTGGAGCTGCTGACCTGGGGCTGGGGAGCCTAACTCCGGGCTGCCAGCTCCTCTTGACCCCGTGTCTGCAGCACTGTGAAGCCTGGGAGGTTTTGCCGAGCAGTAGGTGCCCTCCGCAGTGCCTGGCACGTGTTGATGGTTTCCCTGCTCTGTCTTCCTCTGGCTTTTGGACTTGATTTCCACACTGTGGACCAGACGTTGCACCTGTAGAGCACAGCCAGGCTTCTGTCCCACTCCCCCTTGTAGGTGAGGCACTCCTTAGCCATTCGGTAACAAATAGGGATAACAGGACACCAGCCATTTTCATCGTGTCCTCGGTGAGACCTGAAATTCTGAAGAAAATCCCCAAAGACTGAATTAGCATTCCCCCCGCCCCAGGCTAATTTCAAGTCTCCTCTACCAAATGGTCTGTATCATAACTTCATCGTTTCCCATCTGGGCATCTGCTGCCTCTGCTGTTCCTGTGCTGGTCCCGCGAGCAGGGAGGGCGCCGAAGCATAGCGAAGAGCCCATTTTATCCAAGGAAAGGAATTCCTTTTTATATTCTAATATCCTGTCTGCTGCCAGGGACTGGGTTGAGTGTCTGTGAAGCAATTGTGCCTGCAAACTGGAGCCGAGTCAGCATGTCTGGTTATTCAGGCTCGCGTGCTGGAGCTGCCTCTGTCTCTTGCCCAGGGGGGGTGAAGTATTAGCAGGACAATGCCTGGCAGATAACCAATATGTGCAGGCACTCGGAGAGATGGATGCTTTCCCACATTGTCCTCGCAGAGGAAGAGTGAGCTGTGCCTTCCCCTCAGGTTGCACAGGGGAAGGAGCTCTGCCTGCAGCCTCTTCCAGTTTTTCCACTGGAAAGGGAGCTGGACTGGCCCTTTCTGTAGGGTCAGGAAGGCGGTGGCCTCCGCTGCTTGCACCAGTGCTGGAGCTCGTGGCGGTGCCAAGAAATACAGAGCAAAGAAAGGATCATCACGTGGAGTGACAGGGTTTTCCTGCCCTGAAAGCACAGTGGGATACTCTGCAGACCTGTGGATCTGTCTGTGCATCCTCCTCACTTGTGCATCTGTAGTGCCTGGACTGTAGACATCGTGCTATTCTGCCGCTGCTGTTGCTTTTCCATCTGTTCGTTCACGGAGAAGCAAATTAATGTTTCTCCTCTGCACAGCCTAGAGAGGGGAGGAAGGGGCTTGTATTGATTTTTGTGTAAAATATGCCCATCTGTTGGAATACCATGTTTAAAATGATGAACAAAGAAAGAGAAAGCCCACTCACGGAACTGAAATACTTGTCCCTGCCTCTGCCCAGGGATGGTTTTGACCCCAACCTTTCCCATTTCTCTTGGCCCAAAAAAACTGTAGTTGTTTTAGGCATAAAATTAGTGGGATGGCTTGCTGCAAGAAGAATGGTTAATGAATTCTTACGGAATATTGTTAAACATCTGGTTGAACGTACAGCATTTTTTGCATGTTAGTGTTTTGATTTTTGTCCTCGGTGGAAATGCATGTCTCAAAAAGCGTGATCTGCTCTTCAGGAGAACCCCACTGCTGAGTCTAATTCTTTTCCCCACCACCGAAATTCATGGAGATTGGGAACGCTGCCAGATCTGTGAAGTCTGCTTTGCGGCACGAGCACGGTGCGTGATTTGGTTTGCTGGTTGGTCCTGGGGGTCTTTCTGGCAGGGATGGCTTTCCTGCAGCTTGCTGCTGGGACCACCTGGTTGTCTTTACGATAGGGTTAGCTTAGGGGAAAACTGCACCCTTGTTGAGGAGCCAGGTGTTTCTATGTCAAGAACAGATGCAAATCAGCTGTGATGAATTTCCCATTTTTTTAAAATACCCGCATTTCTACTGCAGGGAGTGGTGGTCCTGTGGGGAAGGAGGTACATTGCGGCATGAGCAGGGCAGCAGCCTGTGGAAGAAGCTGTTTTTTCCAACCTGGTGAAGATTTGTTATCTTGGGTGAAATGCTGTTAAAGCAGGTTGTGCTTTGGGACGGGATCTGGGAGGATCCTGATCTATGAATCAGGACTGATCCATAGGCTGTCAGCACTGAGAATGCCCCCAGCCCAAAGCTTGGGTGCCGACTGACGTGTAGTTCCTTTTAAATTTTAATTCATTCATTGTGACAAAGGCTGGTGGTCTTTTAAGCTGCTGGACTGGGGAAGGAGATGCATGTTTCAGTGAGGGTTCGTGCAGGAGATTTTTATGCGATATTTTGCAGGACTGTGGTTAAGTGTTCCCCTTGGCCTTCCTGGCAGCATTTTTAACCTTGCTGCATTAATCTCCTCTCCATCAGAATGGTTGCTGTTGAGTTTTTCTTTCATTCCTCTGAATTTTAGGGTATATTTTTCATTTTTCCTGGCATTCTGTAACTTCTCCCAAGGCGAAGCTCTGCTTCGCTTCCCCTACCTTCTCCCAAAATGCAAAACTCGGGCATTTTTCCCAAAGCCAGGAATGCTTTGTAGGAAGCCGAACTCATCTCCTTTGGCAGTGAGGGGTGGGATGTCGTACTGTGTCTTTGGCTGCACAAAGAGCACAGACCTGCTCTAGCAAATAGCAAACCAGTGAGGGCTTATTTGCCTCTCCCTACCATTCTTCAAAAACAGTTTTTCTTTTTAGTGGGAGTAATCCTTTTTAATTTTTGAGCTGCTGTGTCCTTCTGAACCCTCTCTCCAAGCTCTCTGTGGAGTTAGCACTTGCAGCTTACTGAGGAAGCAAGCAGTGCATTATCCATCATGGGAACCTGGCACCTTTCAGATGTAATTCACTGGCAGAGTATTAAACATTTTCTCAGCCATTCTTCAGTGTCAGTAGCAGGAGAGATTTTTGTTCCTCTTCACCGTCACTGTCAGCACTCTTTCTCTGATGACAAGTATCTGGGGAAATCTGTTTTTTTGAAACACTTGACATACAGTATGACTTTCCTGTCCTAGCAGTTCATGTCAGAGTGCCTTTAAATTTCCTCTAGTAATGTGATTTTTTTTTTTTTTTTTTTTTCATTTTTCTGTGTGGCTTGTCACAATTGCTGCCCCTCATCTTTAGGAGGAGAAGGGAAGGATTGGAAGTGAACTTAAAATGCAGTATTTTTCAGTTTGCCCATCCCTTTATTTGCTGGAGGAGCAGTTACAAACTGATTAAACACCGATCCTTCAGTGTAGGGAGCTGGCGGTGAATAGAGGTGCTGTGGATCTTTCAGCAGCTGAGATGAAGGAGAAATAAATATAGATTAATTTCTCCTGGACGTGTACTGGAATTGTAGCTCTCCCAAAGCAATTTGGTCTTTGCAGTTATCAGTCTGAATGTGGCTAGAAAAGAAAAAGTCGATAGCTGGAGCAGTCTGTGTTGGCTGGGAGTGGAGTGGGTAGCAGAGGGGTTGCAGGATCTGCTCTGCCCCTGTTCTGCACCTCAGTGGATCTCAGGTGCCGGGGAGGTTGGGGGGGATCCCTGCCTGGCAGGCTCCCCACGGGTACCCCAGGGATGCTGAGGTGCCCTTGCCTCAGGGGCAGGAAAGACCTGTTCAATCGGGTCCTCCAGCTTGTACAGGTCTCTTGCTAGCCGTGGAGAGAGTGTCTTCCTAATCAAACATGCCAGATCACGTACCATGGAGAGGGCGTTAATCTGCAGGAGCCCTCCCTGTCGTGTGTCTCTCCTGCCTGCCTGCTCAGCTGAGGGCAGGTTTCAGCTCTTCTGTGTGGAAACTGGGGCATTTCTGAACTGGCTTCTTCCATCTGCTTCTGAAAGGCCTTACATCTTCGTGCTTAATGTTTTGGAGGGTTATTTTGATAGTAAAAACAAGAGCATCATAGCCTGGGATGAGTGGTCCCCAGGAGGTAACCCTGCCTTTGCACTGCCCTTCTTTTCGAGGGCCATAACGAGGTGAGCTGGCTCCTGTCTATATAGATTGGGCAGCACTAAAAAAAGGCAGGTATGTTTTCTTTTGATGCTCTGACTATATTCCTGGAGGGTGTGCCGGAATCTGCTTGAAAATGAAGTTGAGATCGACAGCTGTTTGGGTAGGCTCACCCCAGCATGGCCAGGAGGTGCCTCTCTGACACCAGTAACTTCCCCCTCAAAAATTTCCCCTAAAAAATGCTGGAAGAGTGGCAGCATTTCAACAAAAATTTTTGAGTATAAATACATAAATGCTGTTACGTTCAGTAACGAGGAACTGTTAGTTCCTGATTTCCTTTTTTTCGGTCAATCCTTATCGCCCACTGAAACAAAGCTTGACTTTGTTCTGAGCAGTTGGTGGGAAGCAGAGTACATATTATATGTGTACGTTCACACGCACACATATATAAAAAATAAATATATATGTTTGGGGGATGGGAGAAGAAAATGCACAAGAAGTGTTTTACTCTTGCCAGAATGCCACCAGATGTGAAGTCGCTTTGCAGGACAGTGCCTGCCTTCTTCAGTCGCACACCACGAACTTGTGCACGGCCTTTGCATAAAATACTGTTGCTTTTCTGATCCCTTGCACTGGCAGCTGACTGATGCTCTTGTTTTCGTCTCGCAGGAGGAGCCGGCTCCTGCGGTGCAGGGCCGGAGGTCGTCACTCAGCGGGGTGTGCTACCTGACCATGGGTCTCCTCGTACTGCTCCTGGGCTTGGTCTTTGCATCGATGTATGTGTACAGATACTTCTTCATCACCCAGGTAGGGGTGAGTTGGGAAGGACTGCTGGCTCATCAGTCAGAGCAGCCAGACAAGCTGCTTCAACCTTTGAAAGAGGTGGTGCTGTCATTTATTGCTTTGCACTGCATTAACTCAGGAGCCAGTCCTCTGAGCACTGCAGACATGGCATGTCTTAAGTGGTAGGCTCAGGCTCACTTCCATCCTGACTGCCAGGAAGGGCCTTCCAGAAACCCTGCTCTTCCCCTCCCTTGTGGCTTTATTTTGCTTTTTTTTTTTTTTATTTAAAAAAAAAGCACTTTTTTTTTTTTAAAAAAAAAAAACCTCCATAAAAATATCCTGCCAGTTTTACCTTTTAAACCCAACATTACTGCTGTCAGGGGTAAGGCACTCTGAAAGAGTGGCTTGTTGTGAGGGGAGAGCAAGCCCTGGAGAGAGCAGGGAGGTACAGGCAAGGGAACAGCTTTTTGCAGTAGGTTTTTTAGGCCCTAGCACAGCAAAACTCTGTAGGTGTAACAAAAATAGGTGCTGCTATTAAGAAAGCAAGCAGAGAAGTGAAAAGTAAGTGGGAGATGCTATGAAAGGTGAGCCCTCGACCTCCACTAAATTCAGTAACCTTTGCAAAGCCTGGCCTAGCTGAAGCAGTGGGCTGGCAGCATTGTGGTGGGTCAGAGCATAGGGAATGAGGCAAGGCAGAGCTGCTTTTTAAGGAGGAAACTGCTGAGCCCTGGCTTGCTGAGCGTTTAGCCAAGAAAGCCCAGAACATTGATTTGCACTGAAGCCCTCGTTCTGCTGCAGAGCAGCTATTAGTGAATGAGTTCTCCCAGGACTGCCTGCTGCCTTCATCTCTGCAGCCAGCACTTATCCACTCAGCAGTATAGTCTTTCTGTACACTCCCTTGCTCCATAAATTTTCTTGCTGTCAAATTAATTTGTAATCTTTGTCTTAAGATACATCAGTGCTTTATTACCCGTCCTCATTTATACCTGATCTGGAAACCCTGTGACAACTGTAGGGCTGCTCAGCCCTCCCATACACTGCTGTGTTAGTGTGGTGGAACCCTGTTGCAGGGCTTTTGGTGCAGGCACTTCCTTATGAGAAGAAGGAATTCTTCTCATAACCTTCCCTGGCATTGAGGGAAGGTTATCGACCAGGTGACAGACAGCGTTCAGTCCATCACCCGGTCAATAACCTACCCTTGGCGCATGCTGAATGGCACTGGGAAATGCCCGCTGGCCCATTTAGGGGCCACCCGTTATCACCCCCACTGCCTGCCTGCAATACCAAATGGCAGCTTATATCCAATTACATGGCAAAGCTGGTTCAACATGGTCAGAGATGCTTTGGGGACGAGGGCAGTGGGACCTTTATGTCTCAGTCTCCAATGGCTGCAGTTTGTCCCTGTGACCTTTGTGCTCAGACTTCATCACTCTATGTTAGCTCCCTTGCCCGTAACTTGTGCTTCTGGAGCCCTGGAGAGCAGCAGCTCCTGTTTTGCAGTGAGGTGAAGCTGCTTTGTTTTGGTGCATTTGCCATATACAAGCTACAAGTACCTTTAGAAATGATATTCTGCTTGCCCCAATCTTATATGCCTTATGTAGAAAAATGTAGTTACTGGAAGCTGTGTCTATGGAAGGATGTGAATGGCCTGGTTATGAAATTTAAGAGCCTACAGGCAGTCAGTTTGCCTTTCTGAATTACCCCTTGTGAAATCCCACAGGGAATCCTTTACTCCCTTTGGACCTCGCTAGCAGGAAGGGAGACGTGGTCATTCCGCAAGGGTGTTTTGCACTACCTTCATCACAAGTGGTTTCTGGTAAAAAGACTGATCTTGAAATATTCTCAAGCATCTCTTTGAAAAGCGTGTTTTTACCTAGTATGACTACGTTTCTTCTTGTGTGTCCTGGTTTCGGCTGGGATAGAATTAATTTTCTTCCTAGTAGCAGGCACAGTGCTGTGTTTTGGATTTAGGATGAGAAGAATGTTGATAACATGCTGATGTTTTTAGTTGTTGCTGAGTACTGCTTATGCTAGTCAAGGACTTTTTCAGCTTCCCATGCTCTGCCAGGCGCACAAGAAACTGGGAGGGGGCACAGCCAGAATAGTTGATCCAAACTGCCCAAAGGGCTATTCCATACCATATGACGTAATGCTCGGCAATTCCTTACCATATGGCCTCATGCTCAGACGAGACGGGGGGGGGGGGGGTTGGCCGGGGAGCAGCGATCGCTGCTTGGGAACTGTCTGGGTATCGGTCGGCGGGTGGTGAGCAATTGCATTGTGCATCACTTGCTTCGTGTATCATTATTATTATTATTATTATCATTATTATACTGTTACTATTAGCATTACTATTTTACTTTATTTCAATTATTAAACTGTTCTTATCTCAACCCAGGAGTGTTTCTCACTCTTACTCCTCCAATTCTCTCCCCCATCCCATCGGGGTAGGGGGAGTGAGCGAGCGGCTGTGTGGTGCTTAGTTGCTGGCTGGGGCTAAACCACAACATTGTGTTTGCTGTAGTAGTGGGGTGTATGAGTGTTGTACCTCCACTTGGATCTCATCCCCACAGCTGCCCCGCGAGAGCGTCTTTCACTGCGGCGTCCTTTACGAAGACTCGCTGTATTCGCCATTCAAAGGGCAGCTGGAGTTGCATGAAGATGTCAAGATTTACATTGAGGAGAACTACGAGCAAATCAACGTCCCAGTGCCCCAGTTTGGAGGGAGCGACCCTGCGGATATTATCCACGATTTCCAGCGAGTAAGGAGCTCTTGGGGCCTTTGGGGGCGTAGCATGGGGCTGAGCTGGGGTGCACCAGCACGGTGCTTGTGGCCTAGCACTATCACTGTTGTCACATATATCTACAATGATCTTGTTACTGAGCTGTCCTCCTTCCCAAGGCCCTCTCTGAGATTTTCCAACCTGCTCGTCTTGCTTGGTAGGGAGGTCCTTAAACAGGTTTGTTGCTTAAAGCGGTTTCCTGTCTTCCCTCAATTCCCTCTTTTCACCCATCTTCACAGCCATGTTTCATTGGGAAGGGCTCAATTCCTTAATTTCTCTGCTTGGAATGCAGGGTCTGACGGCTTATCATGACATAACGCTGGATAAGTGCTACGTCATCGAGCTGAACACCACTATCGTGATGCCTCCTCGCAACCTGTGGGAGCTGCTGGTTAACGTGAAGGTAGCTGCAATCCTGCTTATTTTGCATGCTTTTCTTGAGTTGGCTCCTGAGTGCCAGCTAGAAGCTCGTGGGAAACCAAAACTGCTGTGTCTGTGGAAGTAAGCCTTGGCCCTGACAGAGCTGAGCCTTCATGCAGAGCAAAGGCTTCAGGGGTTTAGCTGAAATATTAATTTTGCAGACAACACGGTAACGCTGGCATGACAGATCAACCTGACCAGGGTGTCACGAGAAGCAGCATATCCCTTCGCTCTGGTGTTTACTGATAGTAGGAATCAAGGAAAAAAAGAAAAATTTCCCTGTTTTCACTCTCGCCATGGTTGCTGCTGTGGTTTGCCATTTGCAGAGCTCTGTATCCCTTGGGGAGTACCAGGCCTTCAGCTTTCACCTGTTGGGGGCGGAATCTGTGCTGCCCTCCCTGCTGTGCTGCGGGTTGCAACACTGGACTTGGGCTCATGCAGTTTTGCTCACAGCAGGCATTAATTGGGTTTAGTACCAGCAGGTTTGTTCAGTTCAGAAGCCCATGCTGCTATTGCAGTGACTGAAGACAGTCTTCTTAAAATAGAGTACTATTTAATCTTAGCGGCAGGAAAAAAAACCCAGGATTTTTAAGACTGCAGAAGGTGTATATCTATCTTAGTCTTTTGCAGGTAAAGCAGAGTACTGAGCCTGGGTCTCTTACTCCTTTCTGTGATGGTCTGTTTAAAAGAAAAGAAAAAGAAAAACAATCTTACTCCTTCTTAAATTATCTTTTGCCTCTTGCTGTTACATGCAGTGTGATGAACTTTGTAGGGGTTAAGCTCAGAGGCAAAAGGTTGTGCCTTGAGAGATGCCTGATCTCCAGTCCTTGTCAAACTCCCAGTTTGTTTCCTAGCAGTCCTCGCAATTTCATGCACTGTGACTGTCTGGCAAATGTGCTGGGGTACAACACACATTTACTTACAACTCGCTCCAAACCAGCCTCAGCTTCTGACCATGGCAGGTGACCAGTCCCTGGGGCAGAGAGAAATGGGAAAGGCAGGATTGCACAAGCTGACAGCAGAGACCCAGAAAAAACCTGAGAGACTGGGAATGCTGGTCACATCATAAATAACAGATATAAAATCACAGTCAATGAAAATGATGCTTTCTTGTTATCAGAAATGTAATTAAAAAGCGGACAAAAATATAGTTGAAATGGTCTAACACGTTTGATTCTTTAAAAAGAGTACAAAGCAGATGTGGGTTTAAATAACTTTCTGATTATTGGGATGGGTAAGTGTCCAATCTGTCTATGGAGGTTTTAACATGCACCTTAGAGACACTGTTTTTAAGTGTTTAGCTTGGTCTTGAGCTCTGAAAAGGTTTTTTGCCATGAGGACAGAAGCGGTGGAACAGGTTGTCCAGGGAGGTTGTGCTGCCTCCTTGAAATCCTTGGAGGTTTTCAAGACCAGACTGGATAAAGCCCTGAGGAACCTGGTCTGATCTCATAGCTGCCCCTGCTTTGAGCAGGAGGTGTGACCGGAGACCTCCTGAGGTCCCTCCCCAGCTGAATTATCCTGTGACCCTGTGATCCTCATGTCCACAGGCACAGCCTTGCTGGTGGCCTGCGTCAGGCAGAGGGGGCAGATTTCTCCCCACTGCGGGGGACCTTCATCACCTGATGTCTTGCCCCCCTGCTCTGAAATGCTCCTGTTTGGATGCTGGATGAGCTGCGTTGGTCCTTGGACTTGGAGACTTTTGCCTCGCTCCTCTTGTGCCTCTTTTTGCCTTCTCTGTTCCTCTGAATCCAGTCAAGTCCCTGAAGAATGAGATTAGTTTCTAGCTGAAAGTTTGGTTTTGAAGATGTTCAGTGGCTTCAGTCCTGTTTCGAGGACCAAACCTCGGTCCAGCAAATAACATTAGCTGTTTGTGCCAGCAGACTGTGGCAGCACAGGGATTGAGTGAAGCAATTTGTCCTTTCCTCCCTGGCCAGCCTGGTGCTGGGGTGCCCCTTGCAGTGTGGTTGCTGCATGCCCCGTGCCTGCTCTGCAGCCCCTGCTGTATGCAGGCATGGCTGTGCCAGACCCAGCTCAGGTCTTGGCCCTGCTGTCACCACGTATGCGTTACCAGGCCTCTTGCGTCTGATTTTTTGCCTGTAAGTGGTAGCTCTGCCTACTTCTTACAGACTTTATTCTGTATGGGTGTAATGGTTTAGTGAACAGGGCTGCATAAGCATCTGTGAGAAAAGGATGGAGGGATGCTCCTTCTGTGCAGCAGCAGGAAGTTGGAGATGACCCAGTTAAATCGTGGATGATCCACAGCTTTTGCAGAACCCAAGACATTCAGGGCTCTAGTTTTCTTAAAACTCTTGGCAGAAAATTGAAGGTGTCATGCTTGCTGCACAGTCCTGCAATGAAGGAGCAATGTTTCCTGACTACTTCAGCTGCCACAGCTATTTAAACCTAAAACAATGAAGAAACTGGATTGTGTGCATGTGTCTTTCTCTCTAAGCCCTGTCGCCAGGTCAAGGATATGGCAAATCCTGAGCCCCAGCCCTGGGTGTTAACATGACAGCTCCTGCCAGTAGCTGCACATATCGCATGCCCTCTCCTGCACTCTCCCACTGAGAATCAATAATTTAATTTCTTGCAGAACTGTTGTGTTAGTATAGTACAAACTTCCACTAATAGTCTAGTCCTCCAGCATTAGAGAGCTTTATTGATCCAGTAGGCTATGCCAGCCCCACAGCATGGCGCTAAGTTAAAACAGCGTGTTTCCAGGTACATCTCTATGGAAATAACCGGTCCTGTGATGGAAACTGAAGAGGTGATATTTGAAATTGTGCTGTTGTTGGTTACTTTCCCCCCGATTGTATTTATATTGGCCCCAGGATCTGCTGGTTCTTTTATTTCTTTGACTCTTCTTAAGCGAAAAGGACCAGAAGTGAGTCTTTGCTTCATGGCCTAGTTAGCATCTAGTCTGCTCAGAAGTGCCCCGCAGCCCAAGCTGTACTTGTAACACAGCTGCTTATTGCCGCAGCGATGCCCAGACAGCTGTGAGATGCCCTGAGCATCTGGGGATCAGCTTGTGGAGCGTCCTCATTGCCGAGGTGTCTTTCCTGCAGGGAAAGAGGCTGCCTCTAGAGGTCCCTGGGGTGCTCCCAGGTCCCCCATTTTCTCTCTCCCTGTTTTTCTAGCCCCCGGTGTCTTTCTGCCATGTCCCCCCCACCAGGCACCCCACTCATCACCCTGGTCTTCATAGTGGCCTCCACCGCAGCAGCAGGGAGCTCGCACGTGCTGCTTTGCCTCGGCTTGGTCCCTGGCGTGAGCTGCCTTCCCGCACTGCCCTAGAGTTGCCGAACGATGTCCCCGGGGTGATGGAAGTGAGCCAAGAGCTCGCTTTCCCCTGAGTGCCCACCGCTACCATGCAGCACAGTGTTTCTAAATATGGTGCCCATGGCCCGTCTCTAGTCCCCGTTCCTGTGGGCTATAAAGGCAGGAGATTATTGTGGCTGCGCTGAACGGACCAAGGAGAAGGGGAAAATGTGGAAAACTCAGAAAACTGTTGGAATCTGAGCAGGGCTGGCATTTTTGGGTTTTGCCTTTTGAAGGAAATGTAAAATGCACATTTTCAGTGGAGTTCCTGGCATTTTGGTTGAGCCTTGATCCCTCTCTCGATGGGTTCATTGTGTTCTCAGAGTTACAGCTTCGCGTGCCCTCCTTTAAAACTGGGGTTAGTTTATAACAGGGTTGATCCTACACTGGCTTCATCTCCTACGTGAACAATCAGGTTTTGAAACTAATCTGTTTTGTATGCCTTGTGCTAGTAGCATGGGACAGTTTACTACAATGGCAGGAAAGCATGTTAACCAGCCTTGGTAAGTGGAGTTTGAGCCTTCAGTGAATTATCTGCCGTTTGGCTGTCCTTGGCTGTCTGTGTGAGATGGTTCTGTTCAAGGAGATCGTGGCACCATTTGTGCTTTATTTTGGTGGAAACTGTGTCATTTCAGAAAGGGACATACCTGCCTCAGACGTACATAATCCAGGAGGAGATGATCGCAACCGAACACGTCAGTGACATGGAGCAGCTCGGCTCCTTCATCTACCGCCTCTGCAGTGGCAAGGAGACCTACAGGCTGAAGCGGAGGAGCGCGAGGAGACGTAAGAGCCTTGCCGTGTGCAGCTCTCCTAACTCACTTTCACCCTGCATCACAGTCATTATTTCTGCTGTTACAGCCATGCTGGCCTATTCCTGGCAAGAAGGGAGGTTTCCCTCTGGGTGTAAGCACGCAGGAGATCTTTTGAGGTGTTTCCCATCTAATTCATCTCAACCCAAATCTGGAATGATGCTGCTGCAAACGGGTGCTGGCTGCTGTGTTTCTATTGCTGCGTCTATCAGCTTAATGGAAACATTGAGAAAATGGTTGCAGGAGCCAGCAATTCATTTACATGTGGGCTCCTGGGGCTCAACTAATAGCAGTACTGTTGGGAACTGTTTGGAAGATTTCCCTAATGGAGACACCCGCCTCAGTGGCAGCTATTCAGAGCAGATTAGATCTGCAAATTGCCTTTAATTAATTAAGTTCATAATAATATGGAAAAAGTTGAGAAGAGGGAACATTGGACTATCTTAAAATGATTTCATGAAAATCAGCAATATGTATCTTACATACAAATGGTAACATTGCTGCAAAAAACTCCTTCATTTCAGTATTCGTATTTATTTGGGTTTAGGTACTGATGTACTTACAGGCTTACCTGAAACGTGAACCTATATTTGGATCTCTGGGGAAGCTGCAGGGTCCTGAGAGCATTTGGGTGCAGAAGTCACCATGGCTGTAGTTTGTTGGTTGTTTTCTCAACAGAAGCTGCACAATTGTGCATGGGGCTGCCGGCACGCTGGCTGCTGCTCTCGCGGAGCCCTGGCACGGTCCTGCTTGTCAGCAGGGCACCACCGGGTTTGCCGTAAGAGGGGAGTAGCTGCCTGGCAGACCTTTCCAGACTTGAGGTCCTGCAGTTTAGGGGCATGGGGAGCATTACTTGTTTCCCAGAGAGGTTGCGGCTGTAGAAGGATCAGTGCATGTGAGGATACAAACAGCCAGAGGGGTGGCAATTTTAAGCCCTCCTTGGCTGCGTTCGGAGCTGTGCTCAGTGCCAGCCTGTGACTTCTGCTGGTTTTGTGAGGCTTTCTGGTCTCTGAGATAACACTGAGATGCTGTCAGCTGAAACCAGCTGTTTCCATGCGGGTCCCCCAGCTCATGGCAGCTCTTACTGCAGGACCGTGGCCTAGAGAATATGGCTGTTCTTCCGAAGACATATTCGAAGTTGTCCTTACATGTTCCGAAGACACAAAGCAGCAGGTTATGCTGCTTTTCATGTGGGCTGTGTTGTTCCTGCATTTCAGTGTTCAGCGGTTGTATCTCATCTGCTTTCCTTGCCCCACTTGCTGCAGGTCTTGTGGATTATCATTTGCTGAATTTCCCCTCTCCTCTCTTTCAATCACTTCTAGGTATCAGTCGACGTGAGGCTGGAAACTGTCATCGTATTCGTCACTTTGAAAACACTTTTGTGGTTGAAACTGTTATCTGCAAAAAGTCATGAAGCCACTCTCCAGATGTAACCTTCCTTGGCTTTGCTTACACACACATGCTCTCAGCCCTCTCTTTAGACATGGTAATCTGTCTTACTTTTTTTACTGCTTCCCCTGCTTGTGCAGCTCTAACCTCTTGGGTCCATTGTGGCCTCACAGTGGATTCTCTTCTCTCTCTGCTACCTATCTGAGACGTTTGCTGGGCTTAAATTTACACAGTGGTCAAAGATAACTTGGGAGTAGATGCAGCTTCTTCCACACCTCAGGACAGGAATCTCTTTTGGGAGCAGGGTAGAAGGGATGGCCGAGAAATAGGTGTGCTGGAAATATGTGCTCTTTTCCTGGCTGAGCAATTTCAGGCTGGTATAGTGCTTTGAGGCTGCCTTGGCACCGGGACAGAAGGTGTATGTACAAGAGGAGGGTTACCATTTTGATGCTGATGTAATGACCAGAAATACGTAACCAGATGCACTCAGGAAAAGAACAGTTGTGAGGCTACATACAGGGTGATTCAGAAAGCTCAGCAGAGGGAGGGTTCCTGCCCAAACCATTCTGTGGTGGTCCCAGCTTGCTGTGTGCTGTCTCCCTGAAGACCAGATTTTCAGACGTTGTTTTTATGACTGGCTCCTGGACTCATCCCTCACCACGTCTCCTCCTGAACGTGGCATGGCTCAGCATGACCCACTTGAGCAGCGCAGGGTATCCTAATGGGTGTTCAGCGTGGGCAGGAGGCTGGGGCAAGGGGCAATGAGGTGGGCTGGGAATGACATGAATGACACAGCGTGTCCCGGCTCCCTGGCCACAAAGCAGAGGGTGAAGTGCAAGGCCGTGTAGCCTTTTCTCTAACACACAGCTGCATCTGCTGTGGATCCTGTGCTGTCACTTTGCCCAGGTAAATAAAGAGGTGAATCTTTGATGCAAGGTGCCAAGGCTCCACTGATGTCCCATCTATAGGCTGTGGCTGCGGGTGGAGCTGGGTGGTTTACTCCAGCCCCGTGTCTGTCCTGGCCAGCTCTGCTTGCCTGGAAAGATGAGTTATGTTCACACGGGTCTTTCCTCCTGAGTTGCTGAGATTCCATCTGTGTGCGGATGGGGTGCCATGCCTACATACAAAGTGGTGTCAGCAGCAGAACTGGTAGTTACTGGCAAGCGTGGAAGCAGAATTTTTAATTTTTTTTTTTTTTTTAACGGAGTTGGTATTCTTGTATAACTCCTCTGATAAAAGCTGTTTTGGTAGTAATTAGTGTAGTCCAGCCGTGTGTCACATTATCTGCAGGCACCAGTGTAGTACAGGTATTGATACAAGGCAAGATTCAGCTGATCAATATACTGCACAGAAATTGTGTGAACAAAACTGCATTTCTGTTGATCATCAGACAGAAGAATTGCAGAGTAATTAAATATTCTTCCCTCTGTTCCATAAATACAGTTAAAACTAATTAGGTTCTTGAAATGCAGGCAGTTTTTTGGCTTGAAAGAATGGGGTGAGTTTCAGCTTGGCACATTCTTGTTAATTGGTTTCCAGCAAATCTGGACTTGTTCACCATCTGTTGAAATGAGCTTGTTGTTTTAGAAGAGGAAGGATAAAGTAAATGCAAGTACAATCATTAACTCAGCAGAACCAAAAAAAGTGAATATATTTTAGAATAAAACTTTTAAGTAATAATGCTGTGAGTTAATTATGTGAAAACAAAGCAGGGTCTCAAAATGGTCATGTAATTCAATAGGAATTAGTATGTCCTTAGAGGCTGAGGTTTTTTTTTTTTTTTTTTTTTGTATAAGCATAGTCAGCTATAAACATTAATTTTTAACAGGTAGAGGAGGACACTTTGCTTTCATTCTGCTTTAAGTTTGATGTAAAATGAAGAATTATGTGCACTTCGTGCAGGTTGGTAAGGAAAGTTTCCCACTGCCAGAGGGGTATTTGCTTTTCTAGCATTGTGTTTTTCCAGTGGTAACTTGCTACTAACCCTAAACTGTCATTGAGGAGTGGATGACAAGAAGGGTCAGAGAACTGGTTCGCTTAATGGAAGTACCACAAACTGGTAAATTTAAGCCCTGTGTTTCTCTTCATTTCTAAGGAACCTAAGCCTGCACTCAGGTGAGCATACAGACCTTTTTCCCTTTCCTTCTGATTCTGCATGAATTAACTGGTCATTGAATATGCTAACTCTGTGCAATCCCGCAGCTGTAAGGACAAACCTTGATTCTTTAAGGTGAACTAACGTGGTCAGTGTTACATAGGATGAGAATGCAGTTGTCTAGACGGAAAACATAAGATGCTTTGTATATTTGGTCGGGTAGGACTTTTAATTCTTAGGAAAAATCCATGGGATAATAAAATCTTTTACCTCTGACATGTAAACCGTGTGTTTGTTTGGAATGAAAAGCACATGCCCTCCACGAAGCTGTCACTTGTGGGAGGCAGCAGCCACGTCGCCCTGGAGGGGTCAGCCCAGTGGCATCTTGGAGCTGGGCAGTGGGAGGATGCTGCAGTGTGGACACCCTTCCCCGTGGCGATGGGAGAGCTGCGTGGGCACCCGGCTGAGCCCCCTGGTGTCGGAGCCCGCCTGTGCCTGCAGGCTCTGAGGGGCTTTTCCCCTGTCCCTGTCCTTCCCTGGGAGACCCAAGGGCAGCCCATCGTGGGGAAGTCCCTGCCAAACTGAGGTCTGTGAAGCAGCAATATACCTCTGCTGCTTGGGTGGCTTGGGGGTGTCTGATCTTCACGCTCAGCCTTGCTTCTCCAGCTGCCTGACTTCTACATAGAAATTTGTTTGCATGTGGCCTCAGCCTGCTGTTGCCTTCTGGACGGCTCTGCAGCGCAGGCCTTTGGAGGGCTGCCCTCCTCTCCTTGCTGCACTCAGTGATGTGGGTCCATTAGTGTTCTTCTGGGATTTCGCTCCCCCTCTTTCATCCTTCTGGTAGGGAAGTGTCAGAATATTGTTCCTGAACTCAACTGTTCTTTCCAAAATTAGTCAATCAGTGAGGAAGTTCACATTTCACTTGTTACAGTAATTTTTGCTGCATTTTGCATTTACCTCTTCAGTATCTGGATGCTTTTTCCATTATTGGGGTTCTGCAGAAGAGATCTGCGTCTTACAGTAACTGTGTTTGCCAAAGTCCTCTTCTCCCTGGCTGGCCCCCCCAGCTCTGCTTTATGGCCCTCTCCTTCCATCGGCACTTGGCCAAGGAGGCAACTCTGCATCGTCCCATGGGGAACCTGACTCCTTTAGACATTTTCACCTTTTGAAGGCTGAAATGGTGATACTAAGAACATGACTGATGCATTTCAGTAAATCTAGTTACCTTTAAACATAGCGACCTCGAGGCTTGTCCGGTGCGAAGAAAACCAGCTTGTATTGTGAAATTCCGCATTTTCTTTTGAACAGTCACTCTTCACTCAGTTTTTCATTTCTTGAGGTTGTGCTAATTGCCCCTTGCTCTTAAGAGCTTGAAATAAGTCAGTTCTACTTCCTCATCTCACTCACACTCTCTGGCAGAAGGCTGTGTTATTTGACTGAACCGTGGCACATGTAAAAGCTTGGCAATAAAGCCTGCTTTAGGAGGACTGTGTGGCAAAGGTGCAGCTGAAACCCTAAGATATGGGTCACTGTGATAGAAGCTAGCAACTAATATAATTTACCTTTTATTTTTAGTACTTGCATATTGCAGTATGGCTCAGGGGTTGTTATTTAGCTTTGCCAGGCAGTACTAAAAGTTTTGGTTTAACTATAGGAGCATCTGCTTCCAGGCTCTGGTGGATTTTAAAAAAAAATGTACTGGATACCTATTAAATTAGCAGTTGAGGGGAGGGACCTCAGTGTCTCTTCTAAAACATAAATGACCTCTTGATTTGTCACAAGTCTTTTACAGCTACGTTCACAGTCCAGTCTCATCCTATGAAATGCGGCCCATTGGGATTTCTGCAGACTTGGGACAAAGAATGTTGTGGCTGCAATGGACCACACAGGCTCCAGCAAGGAGGCTGAAGGACCTGTTTTTTCACCAGCATGATGGGGAGCCCATTTTTGGTGGGGGGAATGGCTGCATCTTGTGTTGTGCATGCTTCTGGGCAGGCGGCAGGAGGGCTGCTAGGTCCCTCGGGAAGGGGCAGCCAAGCATGGGCAGCGGGCACAGTTGTCCACTGCCAGACTGCTGATGCCGCAAGGCACAGGAAGCTCTGTGCTCACAGGCATCCCACACAGCAGCTTTGCCCTGGGTTGGCTGCCCACTGCCAGCATGGGGGTGGGGTGGCTGGTCCACAGGGTGTCCTGGGTGTCTGAAGGGCCGTGCTGCCCACACTGGCTTGGTATGGGCAGCAGGAAGCTGCTCTCCACAAACTGCCTTTTGGTTTGGGGGATGAAGAGGGATTGTTGGGCCACTTTCATGCTGTGAAGAATTAAAATCTTTGTCAAGTGTTACCCTGTGAAATGGCTCCCTGATGCACATATCTGAAAATCGAGCAGTCCCCATTTTATTATGGTTTACAAGACTTTCAGTTGTCCTTACTGGGAATTGACTGCAGCCCATTTAGCTCAACATTAACAGCTATCTGATATAGTATGTTGATGCCAAGCTAATGAAAGCTTGTTCTCACTCTTACACATACTTATGTATGTGCCTTAGGATGTACAAGTTGTTCCCGAGCATTCTGCTGCCATCATTCTGATTTCCACCCAGGGCATTATAAAAGTAAGTATTGTGGATGCTGTCACAGGTTCCTAGAGAAAAAAGCTATATCACCTACCAAAAATAGCTTCCCAAGTTAGTGTCCGAGGTCTCAGGAAAATGCCAGATTCTTGTCCTTTTGGTAAGTACAATTCCTGATGGTGGCATTCAGGTCCTGGTGAAAGAGGTGCTGCAGGTCCATTGTAGGGAATGTTTTTTGGATTAAAAGAACAGAAAGCAGAGTTTGAGGGGAGAGAGTCACTAACAAATATTGGTTGAGCTTTAGTGAATATTTTCAGTTGGAAAAAAGTAGCATAAAAAGGTAGGTGGAAGCACCTAAACTTCCTGATGTTAAGCTGAAGCATTTGTTTTAATATTTTAATAATTAAGTTACTGAGTTACTGTTTCTTGTTTTGAAACAGTTTTTATCTAAAAATGCTGAATTAAAATGGTCAAGTAACATGGGAATGAAACAAACACTGTTCATTTTGTGTTAGAAGAAACATTTATGTTGACCAAAATGTCAACAAAACATTACTACTTTTTTTTTTTTTTTGTGCTGGAAAAGCCTGAGATAACCTAATTTTGATTCAATCTGAATCTTTTTTGTTGTTGTTATTT